GGGGTAGGGATTAGCCTCTTAATCAGATATTTGGGTCGATGACGGGGCAAGAGACTTCACCTCGGGAGGGTACAAGTAACAAGGGTCTCGCCCTGTCCTGTTTAATTTTTAAAAAAAAATTCAATACTTTAAATGAAAAACTCCACAAAATTTCACTAATTCTAATACAAAAATAAAAACCAAAGTTCTTAGCAAACGGTTCTCACTAAAAAAATCGTCATCATACAGATAACAATTATAATAAATAAATAAAAAAAGAGAGAAAGAAAAAGTTATATTACCAAAAGATATAGATAAACATATATCTGTATAGAAGGGAGAAGAAAGATCGAGAGAAAGAAAAAAATAATGTTTGCTTTCTGCTGTAGAGAGAGAGAGAGAGAGTCCGTGATAGATGAGGAAATGCAAATACAAATGAAAATGATGTTCAAATTTACGTGACATGAAATTTAAATAGACAAAATGAAAATGACGTTGAAATTTANGGGGTAGGGATTAGCCTCTTAATCAAATATTTGGGTCGATGACGGGGCAAGAGACTTCACCTCGGGAGGGTACAAGTAACAAGGGTCTCGCCCTGTCCTGTTTAATTTTTAAAAAAAAAATTCAATACTTTAAATGAAAAACTCCACAAAATTTCACTAATTCTAATACAAAAATAAAAACCAAAAGTTCTTAGCAAACGGTTCTCACTAAAAAAATCGTCATCATACAGATAACAATTATAATAAAAAAAGAGAGAGAGAAAGAAAAAGTTATATTACCAAAAGATATAGATAAACATATATCTGTATAGAAGGGAGAAGAAAGATCGAGTGAAAGTAAAAAATAATGTTTGCTTTCTGCTGTAGAGAGAGAGAGAGAGAGAGAGAGAGTCCGTGATAGATGAGGAAATGCAAATACAAATGGAAATGATGTTCAAATTTACGTGACATGAGATTTAAATAGACAAAATGAAAATGACGTTGAAATTTACGTGAAATGAAATGTAAATGAAAATGACACTAAATAATTCATTTCATATACATATATATGACATCAGCATGATATAAAGATGATACCTTATGAATAGTTACCAACTCTCATCTTTTTTATATTGTAGTGATATGTTTTATTTCATGATTGAATCTAGTAATTCTAACAATGCATAGGATAGATCGGCTAAGCCAGCTAGGGATCTTTTTATTTTTTATTACGAATTCATTTGTCTATAGCAATTTGTCCTTCTAGGGAGGTACTTCGAATAGAAACTTCATCATATAATTTCAAGAATTAAGCTATGCGTACATGGATATTTACATTATCTTTGACGTTCCTCATACGTGTCAAAATCTAGGCGGTGATGTGATAGAATATTGTAAAAATCAATGGCTTCGATGAATGAGTCATATGAAAAAGTGTCAAATTTAATGTAAAGAAAAATGTACATGTACCATGATTATAATTTCAATAGGGGTTAGAAATAATGCATGAGACTTTTGGGACACATGGAGATGAGGGGAATCAAATGGACGTTCCTCACAAAGCATGCATGGGATAATCGATCATGGTAATCTGCTTCGAGTAGTGATTTCGAGTCAGAAGATCCAGAAAAACAAAAATATCTTATCTGATGTATTACGACTATAAATAGGGATGAGACCACGTGAATTTTAGCCTCCATTTTAATATCAATTTATAAATTTAGTCAATAATTAATTTCAATCATATATTCATATTTACTACTCATTATTATCCGCATATTTTGTGTAACTCCGTCTTTTCCTCATTTTAAATCATATATCTAAACAAAGATTTTAAAAATTGGGACTAAACAGAGACTTAATATTCAAAACACGTCAACCATAAGATATTACGTGCACGATTAACATCTCTTCATTTCCCCGGATAGATGCACAATTCATGGAG